ACTTCTTCCTCATCTTGCAAAGAACAGGAAAATCCCGCCCTTTCAAAAAGTGAGGGAGAAGTCCAGATCAGGTACAGGATCCCTACTGCCTGGGCATGGAGGCTTGCAATAAAATCCACATTTAAAAGTTTTCATCCCTGCCTAACTCAGGAGGAAAGGATGGGAAAGGGCAATGCGATAAACTCTGTGGTGGTGGTGGTGTGCCTTCAAATCATTTCCAACTTATTGCACCCTAAGGTGACCCTGTCATGTTTTTTTCTTGGTCGACTTTGTTCAGAGGAGGTTTGCCATTGCCTTCTCCTGAGGCTGAGAGCATGTGACTTGACCAAGATCACCCAGTGCATTTCGTGGCCAAGCTGGGAATTGAACCCTGGTCTCCAGAATCAAAGTCCAACACTCAAATCACTACACCACGCTGGCTCTCGCCATTGGCTGTCTATGCCATTATATGTAATGGGACTTGAGCATCTATGGATTTTGGTATCCACAGGGCAATGAGGTGTGTGTGTCCAAATACCAAGGGCCGACTGTACCCTTTGAGCAGTAATTATTATTATTATTATTATTATTATTATTATTATTATTATTATTATTACTCCGCCTCTCTGAGAGCAATCGGGGTGGTTAACAACATGCTAAAATACCAATACAATCATAGGATTCCTCCACCTGGAAGCATCTAAATTTCACAGCAACCTTAGGTAGGACATTCCTGGAAAAGATTACAGCACTTGTTGTTTTGATGGAGTAAATGGGCCTCGAGTCATTTGCCATGGGCAGAACCTAGAACCACCTCATCCTGCAGGGAAGGCTTTAGCAATTCCCAATTTCTTCTCTTGGCTAACATCCAAGGGACATGTGCAAAGAGTCATTATGAGCAGAATGTATCAGACCCAACCCTTTGGAGATTATTGTGAGGCCAGAAGACAACTATGTTGTCTGGCTTGCTGGTGCATACTGTCCAGCATTTCATAGATGGGGGAAAATGGCCATGGATATATTTATAATAGAAGCAACTGGGACTTGCTATGTTTTGCAGCGTGGGATGTGGCTGTTCAGGATTCCAGACACTCCCTTTTCTTTCTTTCTTTCTTTCTTTCTTTCTTTCTTTCTTTCTTTCTTTCTTTCTTTCTTTCTTTCTTTCTTTCTTTCTTTCTCCTTCCTTCCTTCCTTCCTTCCTTCTATCTTTCTTTCTTCCTTTCTCCATCCCGCCTAGCTTTCTACTTCCCAGCCATGCCCTTTTCCAGAATGCTTTATTTCTTTCCTCAACAGTCAGTCAGCATTTTTTAGCCACCGGACACATACAGGGCTGCTTTTGGTATCTCCTTCGAAGGTTTTCGCTATATATTTTGTGTATTTCTGGAAACCTAGGAGTTTCCCTCAAGCTTTCAGAAGTCTGCCTTTTGTTTATGGATAACAGTGCTCCTGGCTATGGGGGGTCATTCACACAATGATGTTTTTAGCATGACTATGTGAATAATATCTATGCCAAGAAGAGCCCAGGATAGGTCGCCATACGTCGGAAATGACTTGAAGGCACACAACAACCACAACAACAACAATTGGAGGGAATCACTTGTAGGCTATCTGGTCCAAATCCCTTATGGTACAGGAAATCTAGGGCAGGAACAACCTCAGTGGGGTGGTTGTAGGGCTGGAACAAACCTAAATAGTGAGGGAAAGTTCACAATCTCTGCTTGTAGTTGGATCCATTGTCCATCTGTTCTCCTTTAGCTAAAACCCTCTAATTTAAAAGATCTAGGGATTCTTTCACATTACACAATTCTAGCAACATGATTCCACTTTAATTGGTGCAGCAACTTCATATGGACTTCTGGGATTTGCAGTTTAGGGAGGGGTACTTAGAATTCTCAGCCAGAAAATTCTAGTGCCTCACCATACTAAAAATCCCAGGATCCCATCAGACAAAACTATGGCAAAGTGAAATAATAGTGCTATGTCAGTGCAGTATGTGAAAGGGCCCTGTAGTCTGAGGATACTCTAGAGAACAAAACTTTGTCCTCTTTTATGCAACTACCATTTGGATATCATGTTCCCCTTTCTGTCTCCTCTATGCTTAATTCCTTCATTCTTTCCTCACAGAGCTTGTATTCCATACCAATGACCAATTCCATTGCCTTTCTCTGAACTCTTTTAATTTATCTACATCCTGCAAAAGCTCAGCTACATCCTGTTTGGTCTCATCTCTTAAAGAAAGAAGAAAGAAAGAACCCTCTGACTTTTTGGAACTATTATTCATGCAATAATTCATAGTAATTAGATATAAAGTCTCGTAATCACAACATAGTATGGCTCTGTTTATTCTCTCAGCATTATTAGATTTTTAAAAGTATAAAATATTGTGGATCTCAACATACTTTTCTTTATACCTCCAACTGAGCACTTTACAAATTGCATCCCATGAATTATCTTCTAGGGACTTATTTCGCTCAATGAGATCCATTTTCCATTATAGCCTTGCAAAATTATCTTGCTTTAGTGTTTCTCATCTAATGGACAGCATTTGAGACAATAATAATAATAATGCCACTTCCCACCCACCAGAAAAATGCTTACAATTCAATCAAAACCGCAGTTATCACTGTCTGCTCTTTTTTTAACTGAAAATAATTGAATACAAAATTTAAACTATGCAGAGAAAGTAAATGACCCAAAAATATATATAAGCAACTCATATAAAAGTCTCATAGCATAAAATCTGCAAAAATAAAAATATGACTGAGCTTGCTGAAAATAATATGAAATTGGATAATTTCGCGGGGATATTTAAATTTAATTTTGCACTTGAAATCTTTTAGCACATAATAGCATTGCAAGAAACAAAGGAAAAGCCCATTATTGGGTTTTTCCTCTCCCATGGCTCTAGTTTTTCAAGGTGGAAAAGTTTTCAATATTTGCACAGCACTCAATCATGCCAATATTGTATAGTGGTTTGAGCGCTGGACTGTGACTCTGGAGACCAGGGTTCCAATCCTGGTTTGGTCATATAAACCCATTGGGTGACAGTCACACTCTCTCAAACTCTGAGGATGTCAATAGCATGGAGAAACATGCCAAGAAAACTCTGTTTCATGGCCTTGCAGTCGCCATAATTCAGAAATGACTTGAAGGCACACAATAACCTCAGTCATTCAGTATTCTTGGCTAGCATCAGTTACATACTCTCCAACATTTCACAGATGAAAAACAGGGCACCTGTGGCCAAGTAGCATCAGATGGCAGACATAGTGAATGATGAAGATCACAAAAGCTAGGAGAAGCTCCAGCAGTTTGCTTTTGCCTAAGCCTCCTGGGAAGGGCAAGATCCAACCCTATCTTCTACTCCACCAACTAAGTTAATAGAGTACAACCTCCTTTTTCAAAGTTTGTTTTGTTTAACTAATGCCAATCCCTAATAGTTGGGTGAGTTCAAAGATCAACAACCTCTTCATAAAAAGTCAGCTGCCAGGATGTTTCCAAAGGATGAGTCTGTTTGCACAAGGATGCCAAAGAATTCCTGAGGATTTGGAAAGCCTAGACCAGGGGTAGGCAACCTTTCCCCTTTAAGGGCCGAGGGACTTCAGCTCCCAGAAGCCTCAGCCATGTTGGCCAATAGTCCCATGTTGGCCAATAGCTCTTGGGATTCTGGGAGCTGAAGTCCCTCGGCCCTTACAGGGGAAAGGTTGCCTACCCCTGGCCTAGACGTTGCCATGTGTTTTGCTACTCTATGGTGCCTTTTCTCCATAGCAGGAGGGGACATTCAAAAAGGATGTGGAGAAACTGGAGCGTGTCCAGAGGAGGGCGACTAAAATGGTGAAGGGTCTGGAAACCAAGAAGCCCTATGAGGAATGACTTAGGGAGCTGGGGATGTTCAGCCTGGAGAAGAGAAGGTTAAGAGGGGATATGATAGCCCTGTTTAAGTATTTGAAGGGATGTCATATCGAGGAGGGAGCTAGCTTGTTTTCTGCTGCTCCAGAGACTAGGACACAAAACAATGGATGCAAGCTACAGGAAAAGAGATTCCAGCTCAACATTAGGAGGAACCTCCTGACAGTAAGCAATAGTGGAACACACTACCTTGGAGTGTGGTGGAGTCTCCTTCTTTGGAGGACTTTAAACAGAGGCTGGATGGCCATCTGTTGGGCATGCTTTGATTGAGAGTTCCTGTATGTCAGGGGGTTGGACTGGATGGTCCTTGGGATCTCTTCCAACTCTAGGATTCTATGATTCTATCTCTGTATGATTTCCATGTGGAAATACCTCTGCTCTCTATGGCACCTTCAAAGGGAAGCTCAGGATCAGGCCATGTTGGTGTTTCCATGGGTCACCAGTCCCTTGACCAACTGGTTTTCAAAGCTGAGTGTCTCTATCTGTCAGCCTGAGAGGCCAGAGATGTGTAACATAGTCTAGGGCTGGTATATGCAGAGCTGGTCCAAGACATTTCTTTGTCTGAAGGAGAGCAAGAAACGGTGCTTCTCCCCTGCCCAGTTTGACATCTGAGGCAGAAAATCCACAAACACCTGCTTTAATTCTGCAATATGGATGCGATCCGAGTCAGTCCATTCATCCACCCAATGCAGGGTTTCTCAACTAGTGTTCCCTAGAACCCTAGGTGTCTGTGGGAAATTGCTAGGGTTTTCCCCAAGAGATTGTATTTGGAAAAAAATAATAATCTTGTTCTAAAGATTTAGATATAATAATTCTTATGTGGGTGTTCCCTGGGACCTGAACACTATTTCAAGAGTTCTTCCAAGGTGGAAAGTTTGAAGAACTCTGATCTAGTGGATAGGTTCGTCCATCTGGATTGATCTATTTAAATTCCAGATTCTTAATATTCTCAATGCAGACTAGGAGGGATTTCAAAAAGGAATTTTCCCACCCCTACCCAAAAATGTTGAGGAGTAAACCTTGGACCTTCTGCATGAACTCTACCTCTAAACTCACCTCTTTGGGATTAAAATGAAGGGAACAAGTTGGGGATATCTCGGCTGGTGCACCAATCGCAGCTACTGAAATTTTGCTAAACTTCCCTAACAGCCTGTCTGTCTCAGTAGCTAACATTTCTCTTGCTTTCTTACATGAGTAATTAGCAATGTGTGATACTCTTACCAAGCGAAGGAGGACAATGTTGGGTACTTCTTTTCTCACACTTCACTGGTGCCTTTGACTTTGTTCCATGTTGTTCTTGGAACCCTGCCTATAGAAACTCAATGGCAACGTGTTTGTGTGAGATATAATTAAGGGCATGCTAAAACGTGTCCATAGCTGCTGGTGTTTGGAGAACATCTTGCACTGTCAAAAAAACCAGAAATTAGAGCTGCACTTAGTCATTCAATCCCAATTTTACCTCCAGTTCTTTGGGAATGGCAAAGGAAACTAGGTTAGAAAGGATAGGAACGGCATCTGGCAGACCAGGTAGGGAGAGATCTTGCAGATGATACAATCTAGCTATTCCTGCACAGCCCAGTCTTTTCCTGCCTTCTCTTGTCCTCCAAAATGTTGCCTAAAATGGACTCTTTTGAGTTAACATGCAAAATAATGGAGCAAGTTATTAAGCTTTATGAGAAAAATGAAAGCAAGACCTTCCACAGGTAGCATTGCTCACTTTCGCTTTATGATGGATGGGGAAGCTGTGGAGTCTCAAAACATATTTGCAATATCTATCAAATGTACATACCTACAAGGCAGTGGATATGCTGTACTGTCTTCAGAAATCCATAGTCCAGGGTTGAGTCTGATACAACTCCCAAAATCCTCAACTAGCATGACCAATAGCTTTCCAGTTGTTGGACTGCAAATCCCAACCTCCCTCACTACTGGGTAGCCTTAACTATCAACACTGGAAGGACCACATTTTCCCCATGCGTTCTGTAAAGAGATAGACCATGTTTCACCTTCCAGCTGATTCCCAATTTGCTCCTTCTCAGTCTCTTTCAAATTGCAGGCTAATACATTCTTGCAGAAGCCATAGCAATATATTCTGTTGCATACCCTACTTTCCATTCTTGAAAAGAAAACTATATGTGAAAGTAGCCAAGAATGCCTACATACAACAAACAAGTGTGCTCACCAAATCTGTCATCTAAGTCTACACGATCCCCAACTAGGATGGGCAGTGGAATTACTTGCAGCAATGGCGATGCTGGATGGGAATGATGGGAATTGCAATCCATCACATCTGCACTGGAAAGGCTGGTTTAGGGGCATACTTCCTGATCAGGGCATGGCTGGACCTGCCTTCAGTCCCTACACAAGCCCATGCAATAGAGGAAAGAAGTAGGGATGAAAAGAATGTGCAATTTTTTAAACAGTTGACGTTGAAAAACATTTTTTTCAATGTTGGGAAACCCTGATGAAAAGAATCCTGGACTGATGAGAATCTTTGAACTCCAGGACTTATTCTGTGCCAAAATTGCACATGGTGTTTACAGCAAATAGCATTTTCCGTGCAGAAAGTAGTATGTCTGCAAGTAAAAAAAAACCCCAAAAATCCTGCACAGAAAATATTGCTATCTGCACCGAAATTCTGCATGTGCAAATTTTATGCAGAAGAAGTCGCAAACTGTGAATAGTTTTTAAAAACAGTGCATTTTTCAAAGACTTACTCACAACGAGAAAAAAATTGGTAAGATTACTCATTGCATCCTTTGAGAATAAAATTTGTGGAGAAATACAACTCTATTTAAAAGAGCACACTCCTTTATTAGAGTGGTAGACTACATGTTTTGTGCTCAGAAGATTTCCTGATCAGTTCCAGGAATGCTCCTGTCAGGCAAATCCACAAAGTGGATAAATAGTATGACCAAATACAGATTGGGTACCCTTTATCTGGAATTCAGAAATCTGAAATACGCCAAAATCCAAAATTGGCTGAGATAGTGACACCTTTGCTTTATCAGTTCAGTGTACACAAGCTTTGTTGCATGTACAAAGTTATTAAAAAATATTGTATCTAAAATTACCTGCAGGCTATGCATATAAAAGGTATATATGAAACAAATAAATTTCATGTTTAGACCTGGGTCCCATCTCCAAGATATCTCATTATGTATATGCAAGTATTCTGAAATAAAATAAAAAAATCCAAAATACGTCTGGTCCCAAGGATTTCAGATAAGGGAGACTCAACCTATATAAGGCAATTCCTTATGTTAATTTGTCCTATGAATTAAAATATACCTCTATAAACTCCCAAGAACAAGCTTAAGATATCTGATGCAGTTCTACTGTTTACAGAGAGCAAGTCTGGCCTTGTAAAATTTGTGGATGGGAGGCACCCAGCGCACCATGTGCAAGCCATGCCTACATCTTCACAGGCAGAGTGGATTATAAAACCTGCTCCTGCAGAATTTAATTATTCTAGTAATTAAAATGGGTAGGCATGCCTGATTAGATTTAGAAATGGATTTTTTCTTCCCAAAGGAAGTCCCAAACCACTCATATAGTAGGTATGAAATAACAGCACAAAAGCACAGTATGGTTTAGAAATGCATGATGCAGCCACCATGTTGATGTTAATCAGGTTCTGGATCCAATTAATACTGGGATGGAGAAATGTCTTGGAGCTTTATGTTCATCCATTTGAATTTATTGGTACTGATATATTAAGTAAGTATAATGGTTTGAAAGGGCAAGGATCATGATCTACAACTGGCCAGTTTCTGGTGGGCCACCTATTGACCAAGGGTGGCCAAAAGGTAGACCAGGATCTACTGATAAATCCATAGCTTGGTGAAGGTTTTTGGGTCCCTGAAGCAGTTCCAAAAATAGGGGACCTTTTCTGAACATGTGTGGCCTATGCTAAGAGTGGTGGCATAGAAAATAAATGAATGGGTTGATAAATAATAAACAAAATACAAAGCATAACAGACAGCAGTACAAAAATCTTCTTATGTGAATTAATTTTCAGCTCTGCAATTTTGCAAGATTAACAACCTGATATCATGCATTTTTATTCAACTACGGTACTCAAGTAATGCACAATATGTTGGTGACAGAAACATCGT